CCCCCCCTACACCACTGTACTTCTAATTGGCCACCACGTTCAATGATCCCGAAAATAGACATATATGTTATTAGAGAGGGTCAGTAATGTTGGCGGAAAATTTCCCATTTTTACTCAATAGAATAATCTGAGCGTGAATCAGGCTCAATGGAGCCTCGCCGGACAGAGGAGATGTTACTTGACTGACTTAGAAGCCTCTTTCTCAGGCGCTTGTCGGGTCGAAGGTTACAAAAATTATTGCGTGGGTGCCTTCTTGTCTGAGGATCAGTTCAATTTCGTACACTTTAGGAACATTTAAATATATGGTTACTGTTTGCTACATTTGATGTCATTTAAGATATCACGAGGGAGCTCTTTTCACCACCATTGATTTTGCTTTCATAAACAAGTCAAATGATACAATTAAGCCAGAACTGAATTTCAAAATGACCTACTCTCTTTAGAGAGGAAAATGCGTAAACAAGAATTCCAGTGATTTTGACAATATTTGTATGCTCCTCACTTGCATTTACAAGCTCCAGAAGAAACAACGAACAACGCCCATAGTTACGAGTGAACGTGCTTTCTCAGCTGCATGGTCAGATATTTTATGTAGTCTAAAAAAGAGCTTTAAATTGGATTTCCTCCATAACTGCCGAGAATGACACCACCTAACACTTTCAATTGAAATCGACTATATATTTCATAAAAAAGGTAAAAGAATGACCTCTCTTGAATAGTCATTCTTCACATAAACCCCACCGAGTTGTTTTTTTCTTATGATCAAGGCTGCATTTCTCTCCGCAGGAACAATGCCCTCTTATTTGCTCTCTTAACCACGAACAACTTGTACTATTTCAGTTCTCGACAGGCACGAAAATTTCACCCTGAATAGATCTATCGAAACAAAACTGTGACGAAGACATTTTTCAGGACCATAAATGACTATTTCAGGCACTTTATTATATCACTCTTGCATATCACTTTTTTTTTTAGAAATGTTAACCACTTGAATGTTGTAACTTCTGCGGTCAGAATAATATATATAATAATGCGAAGGTTAATTACAGGAAAAAGAAATGCCAGTGATTCCTGTTATAATAAAGTTGAACTGCAACTCTCTCTTGTCATCCGGAACTAAACACTTCTTTTAAACTATTTAATGAAAGAATCGATAGCCAATTTATCCTGTAAATAGCAATCTGTTTTCGGTCTTCACCTCTAACCGAGATATTTCCTGTTTCAAAATTTCTTCGGATCTACAGAACGCAGACGTGCACGAAGGAAGGAATTTCTTCAATCCTTTGCCCCAAACTAAACTGCGATTGCGTTGGCTTACCTCTGCATCGTTAAGTGTCTTCGCTCACACTTTTTTTTTTAATGATTTTCTGTTCATGAACACATGAATCACAACACTAAATTGGCTTTCATCAGAGCAAATTTAAGATCAGATATTGGTAGCAGTGGCTTCAATGCTAAATGCTCCGGATTTAGGGGTACACCTTTTCCTTACTGGTTTTCCTTTGTAACCAGCTTGCACCAATTTTTTGTTCATCGGAGAGCTTCCGTGAAAGTATGGTAAAAATCGCAAAAATTTTACCCACAAAATATGAATGCTATGGCTCCGTGACAAAATAGTTAATTTTAAATTTAACTCTTAAAACCGCAAGATCGATCATTACCTGTGGTTCTCATAAAAATTTTCTTTTAATTCAGGTTGCATGGAGATCTAATATTCCCTGATAACCGCGTGTCACAGCTTTACTGAGGAAGATTCAAAGATTCATTGTGCAATAATAGGGTATTCGGTTAAATTGTCCCGGCTTTGACAGGTTACTATATAAAAGCCTCCACAATGGATTTTTGTCATCAAACAGACTCCCCATCGCCCATTTTCAAGCCGTCATGTTACGCTTTGTTGTCAGTTAAATCCCTTAATCGAGTGTTTCCTGCATAAGACCCCATCATTGTAGTGTCCGTCATAAGCCACTATGTTTATGATATTGTACAAAACCAATAAATAAGTAAAGGACTTTTGTGTGTAATATTGGCCTTTCATGGCTGTCATCAATCAGGTTTAATCAATCATAAGGGTTTAAAGTGGAAGCAGCAGTATTTCGTAGATGACGTGAAATTAATAGTAATATTTCTCTGTTTACTCCACCTTGAAAAGATGCGAGGACTCATTGTCGCTATTTATTGACGACCACAACTCATCGCCTGAAAAAGAATCTTCGGAAAATCAAAATCACTGGATACTGTGGAAACAATTGTTAGCAGAGATAGGATTTAGACGTTAATTTAATAAGTAGTTATAAGAGGTGACGTGCTATTACGACCTAAGAAGGTAAAAAATTTCTCCGTTCTTATGAATGGCTGTATTGTTTGCCAGTCAATGGAGCAGTAACAAGCATTAGTGACTATGTAAATGTACTTCCTGGCTCGATTAATATCGCGTTGACTGATCAACTTGTCTCTGAGATTAATAGCTACTTCAATAAACTGCCACACATGCGGCTGATTCACATGCAAATATCGAAAACCTCACAGATTACTTTTCTTCGTTTGGCCAATGAGCCGTTCGGTCAGTCAGTTTAGAAGCTGATTGCAGCCAGGTCGACAAACACAAAGCAAGCAAAAAAACTACTCTTCTTCCCGACTTTGGAAACAGCTTGGTTCACCACGTAGCAATTATGGTAAGAACGTTTTCCTTCATCTTACGCCGTGGCTTTAATGAACGATAATTTCAAACCGACCAAGTCCTGCATGGAAACTGTTTTTATATTAAAACACAACGGAGGCAGTTGATGCCATTCCTTTTAGCTGAATTAAACAAATATCACAGCGGAATTCGTAGCCGTGGTTTTGAACACAAACTCTTTGAGTCACATCCGTTCAAAAAACAATACTAAATATCAAGCTGTATGAACTTGTAATTTCAAGTAGGGTAACTGAAAAGGCAACATGGCGCTAGTTCTGAGTTTTTGTTGTTTTTCACGTTTGTTTTTTATGAGCGCCCTTTGACGTGACAAATGACAAATGAGTCATAAGTGCGCTCAAGGCGGGCTTGTGCGATTCATTAATCAAACGAATAACACACAAGGCTCGCATGGTTGAGTCCTCTTTAATTTCTTTTAGTACGTTGGTCACAGAGTATCGTATTAATTGTACCTATAGCATTACAAGCAACTCCACGAGGGCCAGATTTTTAAAGAAGAAAATGCGTTTCAATTCCAGAGTTTCATTAGTTGTGATTAATATCGCTATTTATTTGCTAAGTCATAGCCTCGCTCGCGCTCAAAGATAAAAGGGGGTTTTGAAACACCCATATTTCAGAACACTGTGATTGAAATAAGATATGAAATATTTTACTTTGAGGAACTATTGCTGGATCAGTGCATTACATCACACACTGGTCTTACCATTAATTCGAACAGGAGATATAA